CATTGCAATGCTGAGGAAGCAGGTTGTTGCTCTGTGCAGCCAGTTCTCTCCTCTGATATAGCAGAAGAAACCACACACAGCACTCTCCGGGCTGAGCCCAGTGTGCATGTGTTACCATCCCTCCTCTGCTTCCAGCACAGTTGCTTCATGGGCCTTCTGCTATTAATAGCAGAGAAGTACATAATGCTGGGGCCTTGCAGGATGTGTGTGTGCTTGGGAAGTGGGGAATGGAGGATGTGGCAGGGTGCTAAGGCATATCATTGACAGCCCAGAGGTTGCAAGTTTGAGGTCATAGCAGAAGCAGTCATGGTGCAGCCCTGTCAGATTCCAACAAGTCTGCAAATTCTGCTAAATACTTTGTTACAAGGACACAAAAAAGGAAAGGAGGATGTAGCACCCCCATCTCTCTCTGCTGTTGCCTCACATCTCTGAATACTGTTCACAGCAGACAATTTCCCAACTGCTCTCAGCTTCTGCAACATCTTTGTTTTCATTTAGAAGAAAAAGCAAGTTTCTAGTTGTGAGGGAAGCTTTATACACGTAAGTTCAGGCTAACTCATGCCATAGGGGTAAGGAATTGTGGGTGGCTGCCCACCCAAGGATTTGCACTGTGGGCATATGCATACATGCAGGTGTGAGGTAGGGTGTACATGGATTTTTGCATGAATCTGTTCCAAGGCTTGGGGGTGAAAATGGATGCGTGTGAGTGCCCATTTACCCAGGGAAGTTGATGGCTGCTGTCCCAAGGAACAGGAAGGCAGGGGTTTCCTTGCTCACCCAGGGGTTTGAGAAGGTACCTGGAAGACCAAGAAGGGCTCTGTCTAGATCAGGGGTTGGCAACATTTTTGGGTAGAGTGCCAAAAATACCCGCAACCTTAACTTGTAAGAAGTTGGTGTGCCAGGGCAGATGGTGGCGGAGCCACGAGGAGCTAGATCCTTGTTTTGGCAGCGCAGCCTCAGCTCCTTCCCCACCATCTGCCCCAAGGTGCACATGCCAAGCAAAAAGCCTTTGCGTGCCACGCTCTGGCACCTGTGCTGAGGGTTGCGTACACTTGGTCTAAATGGAGCCAGGAGGGAGCAGTGCTTTCCACAGAGTAAGTGAAAGAAACCACCCAGATGAGTTTTCTCCAGGAAATTCTGATGAGATTTCCCCTGCCCAGCATGAACCTCCCCCACTGCCCACACCACTGCGCTTCTACTGTCCCTAGCTTTATCCCAGCTTTATCTCTCCCCATTTCAGACCTCAGGTAATCACAGAGCCATTCTCTCTGCCCTGCCTCAAAGCAGTGATGCTGAAGGCAGACTCCAGGGAGCACCAAGGTGATTACAGTGTTGTCAGTTCTCTTGCTTGCCCACCTGGCAGCCACTAGTTACTTCGGCTGGCTCTGTTTGCAGCTGGCAGTTCATGATGGGTCCCCATTCCTTGCAGTGTCCTTAGAAGCAGGCCATGCCTCCCTGCCCCAGAAGGCTGGGAGGCTGCCTGAGAAACTCTGGTGGTGTTCAGACAGCTAGCCAGTTCCCCAGCCAACAGTGCCCCCTACAGAGCAGTGCACAACTCTTCATTTTCAAAGTGCAGAGAAGGAAGGAGCCAGGGCTTTTTATTTTCACTGGGTCATGCATCACCCCCATAGCAGTGTCCCAAGCAGGCCTGCCACCCTGAGGGAGCTGTGTCTGTCTATCCCTAAACAAAGGCTAGAAATGCTAGGGTGGGGTTGTCAACTTGGGGTATGTGTACCCCCAGGGGTACTTAGAAAGGCCATAGGGGGTGATGATGATGGGTGATCACTCACGAACGAGTAAGATTGTCTTCCAAGGATCTTAATAGTGAGTCCGCAGGGGGCTCCATAGTCCAATTCTAGATCAACATGTCTTGTTGCAGTGAGGACAGATGTTTCCAGGAGGGATGGGCACTGTGTTGCTGCATTGGATGTTCTGATGTTCTTTTCACTCGATCCTCTTTTCGTCTTCTGCCTGTCGACAAGCTGTTTCAAAGCGTTGAGGTCCCTCCCAAAGAGTCTTCCTCCATTTTGGTCGGTCCTGAGCGAGGGCCTCCCAAGCGTTCATGTTTGCCTTCAAGGTGTCTTTGAAGCACTTTCTTTGCTCTACGCTACTTTGCTGACCTTCTTTCAGCTGTGAGAAAAAGATTCTCTTTGGAAGGCAGGAGTCAGGCATGTTAACAACATGACCTGTCCAGCGAAGTTGGGTTTGGATCATCATGGCCTCAATGCTGTTGGAATTTGCTTCGGCCAAGAGGTTGATGTTTGTGCGTCTGTCCTCCCAGGTAACCTCAAGGATCTTGTGAAGGCACCACTGGTGGTACTTTTCCAAGCTCTTGAGATGTCTTCTGTATGTGGTCCAAGTTCCCAAGCCATACAGCAGAGTTGGAACGACAGTGGCTCAGTAAACAAAGAGCTTCGTTTCAGCAAGGGTGTCATGATTTAAAAAGACTCTCTTACTCAGACGTCCAAAGGCTGTGCTCACACATTTCAAGCAGTGTTGTATTTCCGTGTCCATGTCTGTCTTTGATGAAAGATGGCTTCCAAGATAGGCAAAGTGATCCACATTCTCTGTTGATTTGAATGGAGGGGGGGTTGTTTTTCCATTTGGAGCAGGTTGATAAAGGACTTGCATCTTCCTGATGTTTAGAGTTAGGCCAATACACTTGTAGACTTCCAAGAATACATTGAGAATGGTTTGGAGGTCCATTTCAGATTGAGCAAGGACAGCATTGTCATCCACATACTGGAGCTCCATTATGGATGTTGTCGTGGTCTTTGTTTTGGACTTGAGTCTGTGGAGGCTGAAGAGTCTTCCATCCATCCTATATACAATTTCAATTCCAGGTGGGAGCTTTCTGTCAACAAGGTGTATTATGGCGGAGATGAAGATGGAAAACAAAGTTGGAGCGATGACACAACTTTGTTTCACTCCAGTTTTCACCTCAAATGGGTCTGTTTGATTCCCGTTGCTGAGAACCCTTGCTGACATGTTGTTGTGGAGAAGTCTCAGAACACTGATGAACTTGTTTGGGCAGTCAGTTTTGGACAAGATTTTCCATAGGGCTTCACAGTTTACAGAATCAAAGGCTTTAGAGAGGTCGATGAAGGCCAAATAGAGAGGTTGATTTTGCTCGTGACACTTCTCTTGGATTTGATGTGCTGTAAAGATTATCTCTACAGTTCCTTGAGATGGTCTGAAGCCGCTTTGAGATTCTGGAAGAGTTTCTTTGGCAAGTGGGAGAAGGCGGTTATATGGGCGATGACTTTCCCAGAAGTGGCCAACAATGAGGTGCCTTAATAGTTTCTGTAGTCAGCTCTGCCCCATTTCTTGAAGATAGTAACAATCAAGGCATCCCTTAGATCAGCTGGGATTTCTTCCTTGTTCCAGATTTTAAGGATGAGGACATGAAGCTGACATGTAAGTTGTTCTCCTCCTCCTCTGAAAATCTCTGCAGGTATTCCATCAACACCAGCTGCCTTGTTATTCTTCATTTTCCTGATGGCACTCCCGACCTCTGCCAGGGCAGGCAGCAAACCGAGGTCTTCTCTGATTGATTTTTGTGGGAAGTTGCTGATCTTATCTTCATTGACAGTTGAGTCATGATTCAGAAAGTCCTAGAAATGTTCTTTCCAGCAAGTATTGATGGATTCACTGTCTTTCAGGGGTGTTGTTCCATCCTTTGATCTTAGAGGATTAAGTCCTTGAGTGGTAGGACCATAGACAGCTTTGGTAGCACTGAAGAAGCCACGAGTGCAGGGATGTGAGCAAAATGTTGGTTTTCTTTTGATTTCTGAATCCATCACTCATTCTTCAGTTCTCATGTTCTCCTCTGTACCTCTGATTTTGCTTGTTGGTGTGCGTTTTTCTTGATGGCAGAGTTGATGTTTTTCTGCCAGGCACAGAAAGCTTTCCATTTCCTGTCAATGAGACATCGAATTTCAGTGTCATTTTTGTCAAACCAGACTTGCTGTTTCCTGGTCTTGTATCCTATGGTATTTTCACAGGATGAGAGAACAGCTGTCTTGAGTCCTGTCCAGTGCTCCTCGACTCCTTCTGGGTGCTCTGTTCGTAGTGTCTCATTCAGGAGTTGCTGGAATTCTCTCTGGCTTCTTACCCGGGGGAGGGGTGCTCTTGGGGCAGTGGGATGCAGAGTCCAGCCTGCAGCAGCAGCTGTCTCCACCCCGCACATAGTTCTGGGAGGCATGTGCCCCCCGGACCTCCACTGGGGCCTGTACAGCAGCAGGAACTGTCCACCCCCCCCACCAAGCCTCCCAGACGTACTGCTCTCTTGGCTCCATCCCGCACTCTACCCCGCCTGTGCAGGACTTGCCCCTGCCCCAGTCCCACTCCCTCCCTCACCATGGGAGCCTCGATCTGCCCCCTCCCCTCCCCCCAGCCCCTAAAACCAAGAAAATAATGTAAAGGGGTACATGAAGTGAAACTTTGAGGTAGAAGGGGTACACTTGTTAAAAAAGGTTGAAAATCCTTGTGGCTAGGGCATGCCCTGTTCCCTTTTGTTCCCGCCATCACCAGCTCTTTAGCAGCAAGCAAGGAGGGAGCATGAAGGATTTGCAAAACCATGCAGAAGTGAAGGGATCTGCCATTGCAAGACCTGGAACAGCAAAAGACCAACCTCTTGAGGTGCTTATTCAGCCAAACACCCATTCTTAGTCTGTGAGAACCAGATAGGGCTGACGACCACATTGGGCAAAATACAGGTTCCTTTCAAAGCTTACTGTGCTTTAAGGAAAAGTGTAGTGCACTGACCTAAAGGTGAGCATGAGCTTCATTGCCTTGCTAGGTCCAGGCTGACATAAAGCTGATACAATATGGCAAAGGTCATTAATTTTAAACCCACTGCTCTTCTCCCAAGAACAGTATTGTGAATCTACAGCATCTCCCTGCCTGGAAAGCAGGTGTCTTGGTGCATCTCTGGCCACTGCTGCCAGACACCCTGGTTATTCCAAGAAAGGCTTCACTCTGGTGTTTTTCCCATGCAGGAGAAGTGGCTGCGGTGCAGGGCACAGGCTTTGACCTTAGGCAGTCTGTGGAGGTTGGGAATCACCTGAAGAAGTTCCAGCTTGATGGCTTTGACCATAACTTTTGTCTGAAGCAGTCAGCGGCTCGGCAGTTCTGTGCAAGGTAGGAACACAGGGTGACCCCTTGTCTGGATGCCCAGTGGGGTGATGGCTGTCTTACTGCCCTGGTGTCACAGACAGGTTGTGCCATCCATGGAGGGTGGATTCATTGTCCTGGAGTGAATGGGGTCAGTTCCTGATTTCCTGTTCCTTCCATCTGTCCCATTTCCCACCAGCTCGGTCTTGTGGAACCTGCAGAACTGGGACAAACTTGCAGCTTTCACAGCATCCTTCCTGACAGGTCCTGCTGAGGCAGGGCCAAGCTGTTATCGCTGGGAATGGAGGACTGCTGTGTTGTCCCAGATCCCACAGAGCCTGAGGAAAACCAAATCTTACCCTCAGTCAGAGCTGCCTCTCCCTTCCCAGCCCAGATTAGGTGTCTTCTCTGCTTCACCCTCCGTCACTCTCTGTCCCTCTCCCCATGTGCTGTTTTCCCACCTCCACATCTTCCTCTCTCTCTCTCCCAGACCAGCTGTCCCTGTTCACCACATGACTGAGTCCTCCTTATCCTCTTCCTGCCCAGACTGAGTCTTTCCTTGGGGAATGAGGGTATTCACAGAGGTACATGGGTCCAGCAGTGGACTTCTGGTTCTTCTCTGTTGTCTGGGGAGAGAGTACAAGACATTGTTCCTGCAAGGCAGAGAGACATTGCCTTCTGTTCTGAAAGAGCTGATATCCTCTCCCTCACCCAGCCCAGTTTCCTTGTCCTCTGATGTCCTTCCTTGCCCTCTCCTCTTTGCACTCTTCTGGGAACAACATTAACTGTGTCTCTGTTTACAGAGTTCACCATCCCCGCAGTGGCAGAACCCTGGAGGTCTACACTACACAGCCAGGGGTCCAGTTTTACACTGGAAATGCTTTGGATGGCTCTCTGACAGGCAAGGGTGGCGCAACATATCCCAAGCACTCTGCCTTCTGCTTGGAAACCCAAAACTGGCCAGATGCAGTCAACAAGGTAACTGCATCTCTCCTGGTGCTGCATTAGCCTTGGGCTGAGTCTGCTCTTGTTGCCTGGGAATTGCCCAGGCACCTATGGAGAGACAGGCCTGCTGTGTCGTTATCGTATCAGTATCACTGTGCTGGCAGGATGGGGAAATACCTTCATACCAGCCAGTCTTCATGACAGATGCCTGCTTTAGTGAGATCGGGACAGGGCTCACAGAGGGGTGTGATTCCAGCTGGCAGAGCTTCAGTGTAGATGCAGTTGCACTGGCACAGTTGCGTTAGTACCAGTGCAGCTAGTGAGGTGGCTTTGCTGACTTGGTATAAAGCATGGCTTTGCTGGTCTGACTGCTTCCAGGTGAGGGCCAGGTCAGCTTGGGGCAGTTTTGGTAGCATGGTTCCATTGTTAAGAGTGTGAAAACAAATCACAGCTCTAATCAAAACCTAAAGCCCCCTCAGTTGGTAACAGTGATTGTCCTTTCACTGGCATAGCTTATTCTGCTGAGGGACCAGTGAGGGAGTGCCTTTCACTGCTGCAAGCTGTATCTCCGCTCAGAGGCTTTGTTCATCCAAGCTAGCTAGACCTGCAAACCCTTTGAAGTGCAGACCAGTCCCAGGAGCACTTTATCAGATAGAGCCTACCAGCAGCAGTCCTATCCTAGTAAAACTCTCCTTGTGGAGATGCAGGGAAGAGCTGTGTTCAAACTGTCCATCTCTCTTGCTGCATTGGCATGGTTAAAATATCAGTTTTGGTATGGAACCAATCTGTAGGAAACTGTACCTCAGGGGCCATAATTCTGTTGACCTTAGGCCAAGCTCCTGTTGCTCTTATGGTAGGTGCCCAGGGACCATTTTTGTCTGCATCCAGGCAGCAGCCTCTCCTACAGGTAGGGATGTCTCTAACCAAAACATAGTACAGAGCTCACAATGCAGCTGGGGAATGAGACTAGCATGTAAGGAGGCAGCTAAACACCCCTCTCAAGCGATGGCAATGGGTGGGATGGTGGGAACTTAGCAGCTGATGTTCTGCAGTAGTTGCACCAGACAGCTTTTCCTTCCTGCCCAGCTCCCACTCATGGAGGTGTAAGAATGTGCACTCAGGTTTCTGTGAAAATGTGTCCTGCTGCCAGCCTGCAAATAGCAATTATCTGCTCCACTTCAGAATAACCCCCACCCCCAAAGAGGGGGGGTGGTATCTGCATGTGAAACAGCCATTTGGAATGCACAAAACTGCACCAAAGCTTTGAACAAACTAAGTAGCTTGCTTGTTCCTAGCTCCTCCATTACAGTAGGAGCATTAAGTTTCTTAGGCCCTAATAGATTGTATTGAGTTAAACCAGGGGTTTCAGACATATGGTCTGCTATCTGGCCCGTGAAGGTGAATCACCCAGACCACAGGGCTTCTTGCAGCCAAGACCACCCTCCTCCGTAGGCCAGATCTGGCCCAGACTTGCCATGGCCCCCATAGCCCCAGCAGCAGCAGTGTTAATCCCTGCTGTTTCAACACAGCTCAGAACACTAGGAGTTAATACAGCTGTCCCCCTCCCATTACCCGCCATGGGATTTTAGTTGCCCCTGTTATCTCAGCTTGGCAATAGAGGAAAAAAGGTGGGTAGCGGTAGCTGCATTAACTCCCTGGATTCCAAAACAGCAGCTCTGATAGCCTGGGAGTTTAATACCATAGCTGCATTTGTGGGCCATCTAGCCCATGAGCAGCTTCACAGTCTGGATCTGGCCATAGGGCCTAATGAGTTTGACACCTCTGGGTTAAACTATCTATGCCTAAAATGGCACTAGGAGAAATAAAATGAGAACCAGGGCTTCCAGTCTCTTTAACCCAATGTTCTTGACCATAGCCATAATAGCTCTCAGCAAACGGAGGTGAAATCACAACTCTAACATACAGCATTTTCCTTTTCTACAGCCCCACTTCCCAGATGTGCTGCTGCGGCCAGGAGAGGAGTACAATCACACAGCTTGGTTCAGGTTCTCTGCAGCTTGAGGAAAGTCAGCTCAGTACCCAAAAGCAAACAAACAGCAATATGTGCTCCATACATTAAGCAAAAAATCCACTAAAAATGGTGGAAGGATCTTCCAAACTACAACAGCGTTAGGCAGATGTGACAGAGGCAGGGACTTTCGCTGCCTGGGGATGGGTTGGTAGAAGCAACTATGGTTGCTTCTCTATGTTAACTTGACTGTTTCCATGGAAACCACTGGCAAAACTCTGTTTGCCTCCAGTGAGCGGGGGAAGTAGGCCAGCAGTGAGTGCTTTTGAAAGGCTCCCCCCCAACAGCCCTAGTCACCGCTAAATATCTTTTCTGTCACTGACAGGATCAAAACCAGTGAGCAGTCTTTAGATATCACCATAGCCCACTTTCTCCCCTGGCATTGAGTTAAATCCTGTCTTTGATGCAATGTGAAGCCTCCAAGTCATCCTGCTCCCCCACACACTTGTCAGGTTGCTCCTGCTATATTTGCTATTATTATTTGCTATTGCTATTATTTCCACTAATTGAGTCCAAAATAAACCCTTAATTTTGTAATGCCCAGCAATGGACCAAAAATAATCAACCCATCATTCCTTTTTCTGAGCTGTCCCTAACTGTCCATCCTCCCTGGCTCTGTCTGATCTGTCTGGTCTAATCTGGAAAGTTTTACCTATACCTGGGTTAGGTAATGTTTTACCAGTAATTACACCAGTAGAACGCCTCATATGGGCCTACAAGTGACTCACACAGGCTATTCCTCTTCTTGTCTAGGTATAGTTAAACAATACAACATACTAGTATAACTAGTACATTTGCCCCTAGGGACAGATGTTCTAGCTCCTGTAAGTAGGAACTAAAGCCAGTGGAACTATGTGGATGAAGGACTGAAGGGACTACTCACAGGTACAAGGATTTGTAGGACCAGGTGCTTTTGAAATAAGCAAAGCCAGCCTTCTCTTTCAACAAATAATACTCATGGATGTAATCTCAACATGCACCTTGTTCTGGCCTGAAGGAGACAGCTTTGTGAAGATTAAAATCAGCACACCTCTGTTTCTTTAGACCAGTGCAGTCCAACTTCTAAGCAGTTGGGGTCTGCACCAGCAAAGGCAATGGGTCCCCACTTCACTACAGGAAATGAAGGACCTGTGTGAACCCCTGCACTTTCACTGTGCCATGTGCATGTGCCTTTCCCTGTCCTAGCCCTCAGCACCCCAGCTGCAGGCCCCCTGGTGCTGTGCTGCTTCATCTCCTGAAGGGGCAAGAAGCAGAAAGCAGAGAAAGGAAGGGGAGCCCAAAGCCCCAAGCCTCTGTAGGCAGAGCAATAGAGTGAGTGGCAGTTGAGTGAGAGCCTGGGAGCTGTCAGTTGGGTAGCCCTGCTCTAAGCTTATGTTATATTCACTTCATTCCTATGACTGATCACCACCTCAGTGCGCTTCCCTTGGCAAGATCTTTATTGCTCGCTTTCATTTTACTCCTTCAGTGAAAAAACAACTTGTAGCTTGCAGATGCCCCAGACCCAAAGTGCAAAGCCATGAAGTGTCCAGTGGACAGGGTGGAAGTTGTATATGTAAAGGCAGCTTTGCCATCCTATCTTCCTGGCTCCAATTTTTCCTGCCCAAGCCCCAGCCTCAGAGCTTTTCTAAGCTGTGCTGGCTGCCAGGGCACCTGTTACCAAAATTCTGTTCTGCTAGTGCTCACAGACTGTGATCAAATCACTCACAGGCCTGCCAGCCATGGGAAAGGAGCACTCTACCTGGCAGCTGTGCTGGCAGGGACAGTCAGAGGAAAAAGGAGCAATGCAGCAGTACACCTGAGCTCTTCCACTACCCAGACCCCATTCATGGAGTCCAGCTCTGATTTCAGCTCCACGGGGCCAGCCCAAGTCCTCTACAAACACTCCTATAACTTTGGTCACAGGGTGATGAAAAAGGAAGTAGCTTTCAGTCAAGGAGCTGTCAGTCAGGCCCTTCATTTTCTGTACCATCCTCTTATCTCCCTCTCACACAGTCTGTTTCTTCTAGCTCCTCTTCTTGTTGCTCAGTTTTCTTCCATTTGAGATTTTCCTCCAGATTGGTGAGTCTTAAAAGGCAGCTGATTTTCACTTGGGCCTGATGTGACTTTCTGTATAGACAAGCTTCAAGGGAGCTGCATTTTTAAACTAGTGCAACACAGCCCTCTGCAGACACGTGTTTCAAGTTTAAAAGTTACTTCCCCCAATTTAATTGGAACCTGTCCCCAGTCAAATCACAGTAAGAAAATAAAAAAGATCAACCAGCAGTTTCATAGTTGGTAGGGTCAGAAGGGACCTGAGCAGATCGTCGAGTCCGACCCCCTGCCATGGGCAGGAAAGAATGCTGGGGTCAAATGACCCCGGCTAGGTGATTATCCAGCCTCCTTTTGAAGACCCCAGGGTAGGGGTGAGCACCACTTCCCTTGGAAGTTGGTTCTAGATCCTAGCCGCCCTGACTGTGAAGTAGTGCCTCCTGATGGCTAGCCTGAACCTACTCTCAATCAACTTATGGCCATTATTCCTAGTTACTCTGGGTAGTGCTCAGGGGAACAGGGCCTCTCCCATTCCCCGCTGGTCCCCCCCGGTAAGTTTATAGACATCCACCAGATCCTCTCTCAGCTTTCTCTTGTGGAGGCTGAACAGGTTCAGGTCTCTTAGCCTCACCTCATAGGGCCTGCCCTGCTGCCCCCTGACCATGTGAGTGGCCCTCCTCTGGACCCTCTCAATGCTGTCCACATCCCTCCTGAAGTGCAGCGCCCAGAACTGGATGCAGTACTCCAACTGCTGCCTGACCAATGTCGCACAGAGGGGGAGGATCACCTCCTTGGACCTGCTTGTGATGCATCTTCCTCACATTGGCGGCTCATATTTATCCTGGAATCACTAATGCCTCCAAGATCCTTTTCTGCCTCTGTGCTGATGAGAAGGGAGTTCCCCAGCCTGTAGGTGTGCTGCTGGTTCTTTCTCCCCAGGTGCAGTACCCTGCACTTGCCAGTATTGAATCCCATCCTATTCTCATCCGCCCACCCCTGTAACCTGTCCAGGTCTAGCTGTAGCCTGTCCCTCCCTTCTAGCATGCCCACCTCTCCCCACATCTTAGTCATCCGCGAATTTGAACAAGGTGCTTTTCACCCCGTCGTCCAAGTCGCTGATAAAGATGTTGAACAGTGAGGACCCGAGGACCAAGCCCTGGGGGACTCCACTGCCCACATCCCTCCAGGTCGAAAATTGCCCATCAATGGTTTAACTAGATCTATCTAAATTCACACCTTTGGCTAAGCATAACTATCTTCTGTTCATATCCCTTTGCACTGCCATGGTCTTTAGAGCTAACAAGTTGTCTGGCTTGGTTTCCAACTGTTCTTACAGGGTCCCAGATTTTTGTTTGCAAGGAATCATGATGCTTGTAACATCAGCTTGAAGGAGGATTGAGCTGGCTGAGAAACTTTTTAGATGCAGGTCAATTTCAGATACAACATGGGCATTAACAATAACCCCCACTATTCCTTGTGGTCAAAGCATACAGCTAGTTGGCTGTATCAGACAGCCCAAACCAGTGTGCTAAGACAGCTTTGAGTATTTCTGCACTTTAGGATATCTGCACATTCAGACTCACATTCTTGTTGATGTCACCCTTTTGCTCTGAAAGTATCAGCTGCCACTGTAGCTGCACAATAGCACCAGAAGTCACCACTGCTCCCATGCCTTCCACTGCCCCAGGTGTCTGGCTACTTTGTTACACCTCTGCAGCCAGTCATCTACGGACATTGTTCCTGTGTGTTCTTACCAGTCTGTTTTCCAGATGGCACTTGGATGTGCTGTTTCATATTTAACATCTCATTTTCCTCCTGGACTGTCCCACACAGACAGCACAGCCTGACCAGCTCTATACTGCCACCTCCCCTTGCCAAAATTACTGTTTGCTCCTGCTACACAGCAAGGAAGGGAGCACTTACACACACCTTGAGTGCATTTGGTGGGGGTACTCCACACTTCCAGCCCTAGTAAGAAGACTAGTTCCCATTACAATGCTCACCCAGGTATTCATGGGGTCAAGATGAGCATCAGGAGTGCACCCAACACCTCAAACAGTGCTGCCCAAAGGCCCAGACCCCTGGCAATGTTCCTATGTTGTGCCTTGGTGACACAGCAAAGTGAGGCACTTGCCAGTACTGACCTTAACCACCTCACCCAATCCCCTTCCTCTAAAAGGGGGTTCCTTTACAGCAAGGAATAGGTTTGTGGAGGGCTCCCAGGATGTGGCTGTGGCTACAGCACCTCCATCTGTGGTTAGCTCTGAGCAGCCTGCCACACAAGATGTTCCACCAGATGTCCTGGGAGAATTCCCAGGGATATATATCTGGCCAGCAATAGAGCCAGAAGAATCAGAGTATCAGTCCAGTAACTGACCAGCTATATTTATTTTATAAAAAGTAGTGGTGGAGGAAGAGGTTTCCTGGAAGGTGGCCAATTAATTCAGTTGAGAGGATTTTGGCTTTGCTAAGATTTGATTGGCTTTAGCTAAGGGTAGAAGTCATGGAAAGTGGTTATGCAACACCTTGTTCACCACCTCTCTACATTGTACCCATTGCCACATGCCTCAAGACACCCACCTTATGAAATGCACAAACTAAAGGGGAAGTATTTCAAAGGATTGCTTTTTATATTTTAATGATGCTAACTTGGCCACTTGCCTCTCAGAAGGCGTAGACAAGACCAAGGATGTTTTTCTCCAGTTCATCGTCATAGTTTGTAAAACTGCCTTTTTCACAAATGAGAGTTGAGACACACGCATGGAGCTGTGACGTTAGCTGCAAACTATACCCACCACCCAGCAGCAAACATTTGTCAGTGCTAAAAGCCACCAGCAGTCAGCTCTGTCCTTGCAACTGCTTTTCCCTGTACACTGTCCCAGGGGAGGGGGTTGCTGCTGGTTTTTGGTCAAAGAGCTTCTAGCACATTTCCAATCTGTGGAGAAGTCACTGAATCCCTCAATGTCAAAGTCCAGTGTTTTTGGCTCTGTTGCCCCTTTCCTGTGGTCGTTCAACAGGCATTGGTCCAGAACTATCAGTCAAATGGTGCTTACCTCAGCAGCTTATCAGGGTTCTTAGTAAGTGGAGAACTACGTGTAAATTGATCTGGCAAAAAGAAAATTGCCCTTAGCCAATGCAGTCCACAAAATTAATCAGGCACAAAATACCCACAAATGCATTAGCAATCTCACTCCAGGATGTCAAAAAAAACAACAACAAAAAAAGCAGCACTTTAAAACGCTGCACTTTAAACACCCTGTCCTAGGACAGGGTGTTTGCCAGTCATCATCTATCAGCCTCGATGACACACCTCTCAAGGCAGTGAACAAGTTCTGCTACCTTGGATCCACAGCAAGTGACAACCTGTAACTGGATGAAGAGCTAAATGTATGCGTTGGAAAGGCTGCTACCACTTTCAATAAGCTCTTCAAATGAGTCTGGAACAACCCAAAACTTACACTCAAAACTAAGCTGTTTATGTACAAAGCCTGCGTCCTCCATGTCCTTATGTATACCAGTAAGACACGGTCAACATATGCATATCAAGAAAAGAAGCTGGACAGCTTCCACCTATGCTGCTTACAGCACATCCTTAACATCAAGTGGCAAGACACAATCACCAACATAGAAGTCGCTGCCAAAGTCAACCTGCTAACCATCATGCTGCACTCCTTAAACAGCAGCATCTACGCTGGCTTAACCATTTCTTTAGGATGGAAGATGGGCGCATCCCAAAGAACATCTCATATGGGCAAATTGTAGGTGGGGAGAGAAGAGTAGGATGCCTGAAATTGCTTCAAAGGCACCTGAAAGCAGGATATGAAGGCTTCTGGAATCAACGCAAACCTTTGGGAGGCCTTAGCAGGAGACAGGACAAAGTGGCATTCCCTTAATCATGGAGTCCAACTTCACAAGGAATGGTCACTCAAATTACAACAAAAACATGACCGAAGGAAACAGCTGGTCAGTACAGTAGCCCCTAACTCTATGTACACCTGTAACCACTGTGGTAGGACCTGCAAGTCTAATATTGGTCTCTACAGCCACAAAAGAAAATGCACCACCAACCAGTAGAATAGCTGCAATATCCACCATCACTCGCTGATGAACAAATGCCATTAATGTATCAAATCATATTTTTTTTTAGTATCCAGCCATAAGCTAAATAGCTCATGCATTAGCAACTGATCATTCATTCCAAATGCTAGGTACAGTATAGAAGTGAGCACATACAGAATCCCCAGTGTCCTGTTTCTGGGCCTGTATTGCTTATAGGGGCACTTTCTAGTTGTGTGAAATGGTTAAGGCAAGGTTATTAAACATACAGCCCACCAGCCAATTTGGTCTGTGAACCTTCTCCATCCAGCCCACTAGGCTACCAGAGGGCACTGGAAGTTGGGTCTTTTGGCCTCAGTGAGCATGGCCACTGGTAGCAAGCTTGGCTCACTGCAGCCAAACCCCATACTTTTGCTTCTCCCACCACCTCCTGCACCACCCCTGCCAAAACCTGTCATCACCCGACCCTGTATCTCATGCCTGCCAAACCATGCACCCCCATTGCTGGACCCTGCACTGCTCCTTCTGGCCCTGTGCCACCACCTCATCATAGCTGCCACTGCAGCAGCCTTTGTCCCTGGGTTTGATTTGGCCCACAAGGAGCCCCCCAGTCTCTATCTGACCTGGGGCCCAAGGTGAGTTTGATACCTTTGGATTGAAGAGTCTCTTGGTCCACTCTATTAGAAAGTGTTCCCCTGCCTTTGTAGCTGTCACGCACCAAGTAGGAGATCACAATCATAACCTGTTACGAGGACATAATTTGGAAGGGAATAAAGTTCCAGTTGTCCAAGCAGGTAAATGCTGGGCCTGTGCGAGTAGGCAGCTATTTGATCCGGCTTCAGATCTGGCCGCTTCGGATGCCAGGGATCCGATCTGGAGCTCCGGACCGGGTTCCCGCTTTGATCCGGCCAAAGCAGCTCTGAAGCTTCGGAGCCACCTCAGAGATCCAGCCATGGGGTATAACGGGGAATCAATTAAACATCTGTAACTTTTGTCCGATTTCAATGAAACTTGCAGGGGTGGAAGCCTCTGCTGAGAGCATGAAGCCTGTCAAGTTTCAAGATCAGTTCAGGGATTTTGGGGGAACTGTACCCCAAATTCTTGAAAGCAAAATTCATGTCACATGTCACCCGGGGCTGGGGGGGAACTGCACCTCAAGCTACTGACAGGCAAAACTCATGACATAGATGATCACGTGTATTAAGGCGCAGCAGGCTGAAAACTGCAGGGTGCTCAGGCCACGAAACCT